CTTCTTTAATTTCTTCTGTGACCCACTGATTACTCAAGAGTGTGTTATTTAGTTTCCATGTGTTTGCGGAATTTTTGCAGTATCCTTTGTCATTAATTTCTAATTTCAGAGCGCTATGCTCCGATAATATGCAAGGGATGATTTCAACTCTTTTGCATTTGCTTAAATATGTTCTGTGAGCTAATATATGGTCTATTTTAGAAAATGATCCATGTACTGCTGAGAAGAATGTGTATTCTGATGTTGTTGGGTGGAACATTCTGTATATGTCTATCAAACCCATTTGTTCACAGGTGTGATTCAGTTCTGTTATTTCTTTGCTCATTTTCTATCTGGTTGATCTGTCCCTTGGTGTCAGTGGTGTATTAAGGTCTCCTGTTACAATTGTGTTACTGATAATTTGAGTTTTCATTTCTGTTAATAATTGTTTTATATAACTGGGTGCTCTGGAGTTTGGTGCGTATATATTTAAGATAGTTATCTCTTCCTCTTGGAGTTTTCCCCTTACGAGTATGTAGTGACCTTCTTTGTCCTTTATGGTCATTGTTGGTTTAAAGTTCACGTTGTCTGCAAACAGAATGGCTACTCCTGCCTTTTTTTGGATTCCTGCTGCATGAAGAATTGTTTTCCATCCTTTGACTTTCAGTCTGTGAGTATCTTTCTGGGTTAGATGGGTTTCCTGTAAACAGCATATGGTTGGATTTTGTTTCTTGATCCATTCTGCTAGTCTGTTTCTTTTGATTGGTGCATTGAGACCATTTACATTAATGGTTATTACTGTTAAATGCTGGTTAATTGTAGGAATGTTATCTCTCTCCTGTTGCATCTTTATCTTTCGGTTCTGTTTAATTATTTGCTTTGCTTAGTGGTTTTTTCCTTTGTGTATCTAAACTGTCTTTCAATATTTTTTGCAGGGTTGGTTTGGTGTTCATGAAGTTCTTCAGCTGTTCTTTGTCATGGAAGTATTGTATTTCACCATCTATTTTAAATGATAGTTTTGCAGGATATATCAGTCTTGGTTGGAAATCATTTTGCTTTAGGATGTGGAATATTTCACTCCATGCTCTTCTTGACTTTATCGTTTGTGCTGAGAAGTCTGCTGTGATTCTGATAGGTTTTCCTTTATAAGTGATTTGTCTTTTCTCTCTGACAGCTTTTAATAATCTATTCTTGTGTTGGATTTCTGGGATGGTGACTATTATATGTCTGGGTGTAGTTTTATTTTGGTTATGACTGTTTGGAGTTCTATATGCTTCACTGATCCTGATGTCAGTTTCTGATCTCATGCTTGGGAAATTTTCAGCTATTACTTCTCTAAATATCCTCCTGACATCCTTCATGTTGTCTCCCTCTCTTTCATTAATCCCTATCATTCTTATGTTATTCTTCTTTGCATCGTCTTGCAGTTGTTGAATTGTTGTTTCCTGGTTCCTTGTTGTTTTCAAAAGATCTTTCCTTTCCTGTTCACTAGCTGCAATCCTGTCTTCAAGGTCTGAAATTCTATCTTCACTTTCATTAAGGCGGTTTTTACAACTTTCAGTGGAGTTTTTTATTTCCTGTATATCTCTGTGCATCTGCATTATGTATTCTGTTTGTTTCTTATATTGCTCGTCTAGGGATTCTATCTTTTTGTTTAGTTCCTCCAATTTTTTATCTGTGTTTTCTTTAGATATATTTAGAATCTCTTTCATTTCTCTTATCATTTCTTCTTTTATCTGGGAGATTATTTCGAGTTTGAATTTCTTTAAAGCTTCCTGGAGTTGCTTGTCAATTTCAGTGGCTATTGTGTCCGATATATGAGGTGGATGGGATATATTTTCTTCTATATGCATTGCTCCTAGGGTTTCTTGAGATGGGCTGGAGGTTTGAGGTTGTAATTTGGTCTTTCGTTTTGTCATTTTCCTATATTTCTGTGTTTCAAGTGTTATTTGAAAGCTTCCTCAGGATCTGTTGAAAATCCCCTTCTATGTTTGGAGCTACTGGGACTCTGGCGCCGCGCTCCTCCAAGCCATTAGGCCTACAGAACCAGTGGCCCTCCTCTGCCTGCTCAGAACTCCGCAGTTCCAGACAAGCTGGGCCTCAGGGACACTGTGCGCCCACCTGCCCCTTGGAAGCTCCACAGTTCTTCAATCGCAGCCGGGTTAGGGTACTCACCACAGGCCGCAGTGCTTCAGGAACCTGTGGACCCTCCCTGGTTGCAGAGATATCCACAGTCCTCCAGACACGCAGAGAGGCCAGTGAGGGCACCCCAGATCTGCCCAGCTCCTCCTCTGCAGACCTATGGCCAGGCGCGGCAGCTAAACAGGCTGGGCTAGGCTGGTAGTGTGGGCCAGCCCACCTATCGGGCGCTCAGCAGGTCTCCAAATGAAGCCGGGAATGGGGAGGCTGATGTGGAAGCCTCAAACCCACCTCTCTCCTTCACTGCACCTGGAAGCCTGAGGGAACTCCAGCATTCTGGGCGCAGAAATCCAGAGTCCTCCAGACACGCAGAGAGGCCAGTGAGGGCACCCCAGATCTGCCCAGCTCCTCCTCTGCAGACCTGTGGCCAGGCGCGGCAGCTAAACAGGCTGGGCTAGGCTGGTAGTGTGGGCCAGCCCACCTATCGGGCGCTCAGCAGGTCTCCAAATGAAGCCGGGAATGGGGAGGCTGATGTGGAAGCCTCAAACCCACCTCTCTCCTTCACTGCACCTGGAAGCCTGAGGGAACTCCAGCATTCTGGGCGCAGAAATCCAGAGTCCTCCAGACACGCAGAGAGGCCAGTGAGGGCACCCCAGATCTGCCCAGCTCCTCCTCTGCAGACCTGTGGCCCGAGACCATACTCTTAAGTGAAACAAGTCAAACTCACATATGTAAATATCACATTGTCTCTTTGGTGTGAGAAATTGAAAGAGTAAATAAGGACAAAAATGTACAATAGATATTAGGAAATAGGAAGAAATTGTTCAAAAGGAAAGAGGAGCTACGGACATGGGTTGGAGGGAAGGAAGGAAGGGAAAAGAAAAAAATGATAAAAGAAGGATAAAATGGCTTTGTAAATAAGCAGGGGGAGAGAGGTTGAAGGGAGGGAGGGAGAGGGAATTGGAAATAAAAGAGGAATCAAGGTATCCTATACAGGTACAAGTTCTCTAAGATCAATATGACCATTATGTATATCTAAATTGTACCAATAAACTTAACTTTAAAAAACCCCAAATCATGCCTAAGATGAAAGTATAAGACTGATGAATTTTAACGAAGTTTAAAAGTTTATTGGGGCTGGGGATTTATCTCAGCGGCATAAGCGCCTACCTTGCAAGGGTGTGGTGATGAGTTTGATCCCTGGTACTGATAAAGAAAAAAACAAAAACAAAAACAAAAACAAAAAAGTTAATTGACAGTTTCTGATCCCATAGTGTATTAAACTGTAAGAAGCTACCACTTACTGGGCTTTGGGCAAAGAATAATGTAATTATCTGAAAATATTCCTTTTGTAAATTATTTACATCTGTTTGAAGCTAGATCATCTTTTTGTCAACCAAAATAACATAATGGATTAAATTCAGCAACAGATATGAGGATCCAGCCAGACACTAAAGTGAGTACAAATATGTAAAACAATATCTTTCTTCTCACTTTTTTTTGGCGGGGGGAGAATGTAGTTATTTTTCGTAAAAATATTTTGTTATAAAAACAAAATAAAGGAAGATTTCTCATAAAATTTTGAGTGCTGAGAACTCAGGGAATGTTAATGTAAGAGCGAGGGTGGTGGAAAATATTTCTGCTAGGAACAACTTTCAGGAGGGGCTTCCTGTTAAACTCACACTGGGAATTCATTGAACTTGTATGTCTACGTGGATATGTGATGAGGGAATGAGTAGAAAGGGGGGGCAGCCTCTCACATGCTGTAGTCGCGCTATTTCTGTAACATTCACAGAGGTCAAATATAGTAAACATAAGCACACACTGTCACCATAAAATGTTTTCCATAATTTTCAAATACGTTTATATTTTAGCTATGAAGGTCAGTTACTAAAGCAAACATATTTAAGTAGGTTTATGTTTTGTTTACATCCAGTACTAGGGATTGCCTGCTGAGTGACCCCTACTCCTGAGCTACATGTGCAACCTAGCAAGTAGAATTTTCCTCTGTTCAGTCTCTTATTCCTTTCTGGGACTGTTCATTTGTGGATAGAAGTACAGACCATAAGCAGTTTCTCCACAACACACATTGCTCCATCTTCATATGGTGTCTTTCTGCTTTCTTTACGGTACAAGGAATGAATTGCAACTGGGCTGCCAAGTCCAGTTTTGGCACTGGGCTCTTAATCCAGAATATCTGGGCTGTGCCTCCCCAACTTCTGGCTTTCTGTCCCTTTCTGTCCCTTCCTCAGTGACTCCCTCCACCTGGAATTTTTGGGATAAAATTTTATGTGATAAAGATGACTGTGCTGTTGTTTAATCCTGGCACCCAGCTGTCAGTGTGCAAATTTCTGGATATGTGCATAGGATCAGGGACTGGCATTTCTGTACCATGGGCACTGAGGTGACTCCTGCTGCTGCAGGAACCAAGACACCCTGGACTGCCTGTGTCTTTCTTGCAGCAGGTGACCTGGGCAAGGCTTGAGGACCACCGAAGTTCAGTTGTTTCCCTGTCCTCAGCTGTCCCAGTTTAGGAGTAGGTGGTGGCCTTTCAAATTCAGTGAGGCTTATACCACTATATGGTTACAGCCATGTTTTCATGTCCCAAGTCACCTTGTCTAGAGTCACACTGTGGTTCCCCAAAAGACCTGACACAGGGGTCAGCAAGTCCTTTTGACGGCAGGTACAGATACACTTGATAAAGGAGCACAGGGCTACCTGACTGGGAGTTGGGGGATACTGTGGCCAAGCAGCAGCAATTCAGGAAGGTCTCTACCTGTTTCTGGAGAGGGCAGTGGCGAGCAGCCCTTGGCTGCTGAAGGAAAGGGTCATTCCCTTTCTCCCTGTCTTCCAATGAACAGATCCAACACGCAACTCTTTATTACAGCTTTGTAAATCTTTATTTGCAAACTTTACATGACAGTAGTGAAAAAGACAACCCATACATTTTCCCCTCATTTTCTGGGTAGGAGACCAGAAAGAGGAATTTTCAGATATTCCCACTCGATCCTTTGCCTGGATAAGAAATACCTTCATAACATTATGAATGGGATTAGGCAGTCTGATTTCCATGGCTCTCAACCTCAGGCACCTGGGTAGTAGCATCATTGATCATAACGTCAGGCACCTGGATGCTCGTGTCCTGTAACTCAATTTCAGGCACCTGGGTACTTGCATCCCATGACTCAACTTTAACCACCTGGGCATTTGCAGCCGACTGGGTCCTACTGTTTTGGACAGCCTCCTGGGCAGAGATAATCTCAGAACCTGGAAGAAGAGCAGTGTGTGGTCATACCTGGGTCTCTAAACCATCTCCAGGATGGTATGGGCATCCAGCTGCCTGTTGGGGTCCAGGATACCAGAATGCAGGGCAAAGTCAACCTTTTAGGTTGATTGCAAAGTTGAGACCCCTTTTCCTGCTGGCTAGACAGTCAGCAAACACCGAGACCCATCCCAAGAAGCCAGCTTAAGTTCCTGGTACCCTTCCCTTGTCCAGGCTAGTACCTCGAAACTGCCTGGAAAGGTCAGCCAGTTTTCTGCTCATCTTGGATAGATCCTCTTATTAAGTAATCCAAACGTCACAATCTCAGTCTCGTTTTCAGGATGCCACCGATTCACGTGAAGCAGGCGAATGTCACAGATTTGAGCTGTGGGATGTTCTATCAGGGCCTAAACAGAGAGCCGGCAAGAGGGGAGAGCAGGAGCTCTCTGAGGCCTTGGAAGAGAAGGTGGGGATGAAGTAAGGAGGTTCATGGGGTGTTTGTTCCGGGAGGCGCCCAGGCAGTGAGGAATGTAGGTTTGCTAGGAATATGAGGCAGCGCCATTGCCAGCACCTCTACTAGCTGCTCTACAGGTAATGAATAGAACCACTTGGGCAGCTTGGTGAGGTTTTCCATCACCTCGAACCATGTTTCCTGTCCCTGCCACCGTTACAAGACAGTTCGGAACTTACCCAGACGATGCAGGTGGCAGAAGCCTCATTGTGGACACGGAACCTCTATGATAAGAAAGTGGAGCTGGAGGTTACAGCAGGAGCACAAGGTTCCGCTTATATGGGAAGCTTATGGCTGGGCCCTGCCCACTTGCCACCCCCGCATTGGCTCCCTGGCTCTGCCCACTCTTGCCCTTCTCATCCAATCCCAGGCCCCTGCTGTCGGAGGGCGGGAGCTGAAGGCCACCATGCAGTAAGCCAGTATAAGACCTTGTTTCAACGCCTCCCCTAAATAGTTCAAGCACAGCCCGGGTAGTCTAGCAACTTACTGAGACTCTCAAAATAAAACAAGAAAAAGTTTATAAAGACCAGGGGATGTGGCCTTGGGGTGAGGGGAGGAGGGCTGGGATTCAAGCTCAAGTATAAAAATAAACACTTTTGGGGGCTGGGAATTTAGCTCAGCGGCATAAGCACCTGCCTTGCAAGCAGGCGGTCGTGAATTCGAGTTCGATCCCCGGTACCGATAAAAAAATATTTTTAAGGGGCTGGGGATTTAGCTCAGCGGCATAAGCGCCTGCCTTGCAAGCAGGCAGTCGTGAGTTCGATCCCTGGTACCGATAAAAATGAAAAAGACAAAAAAAATTAAAAAAAAATATTTTTAAAAGAAAAAAATGAAGTTATAGGTGAGCATAGTGGCACACTTCTAATATCAGCATTCTGATAGGCTGAGGCGGGAGGACTGTAAGTTCAAATTTTCCTTGGCAACTTAACGAGACTGTCACAAAATAAAAAGTACAAAGATCTGGGATTAAGTAATAAAATAGAATTTGTAATTAGAATGAAATAAAATTTATTTGTTAGCAAATTGCCTACAGTTTAGTTGTGGTCGATATTTATGAATATTATGCTGGATGTAAGTGTGATGTCTAGAAAGGTATTTATATTGGCATAAATGTTAGAAAAACACGTTTTTATTAATTAGTATCCAGTCTTTCTAAATTTAAACACACTTTTAACTTAGATGTGATTCCCAAATTGTGCAATGTTTTGAAAAATATACGTACATTTATATGTGTGTTACATGGATATTTTGAAAACTGTGCAAAGGTTTATGATTTCAGGACAGTTCGCTGCTATTGAACAATAATGTAATAAATGCAGCTTTCTTTGTTTTATTGATAAGTATTATGGATGTTAGATGGTATCCATGTCATAATATGTTCCTCTTGCAACATGTATATTTTTAATAAAAATATTCATTTTCCACAAAAAACCCCACTAAACACCCCAAAGATCTGGGGTTTAGTACGCGCGAGGTTCTGTGTTCGATACCAGGTATAAAAAAAAAAAAATCAGAGTTGTACCTCAGTGAGAATGCACTGGTTTCAATCCCCAGTACCTCTCAAAGGATGAAGTTGTTATTTCAGGTTTAGTAGTTGGATTGTAGTCCCCAGACTCGGTGCAAAGAGAGTCAGAATTCAGTTAGACTCCTCTGTGTATTCTCTGTGAGAGAGCTGTAAGCTAAGAAAGTGTCTGAGAAACTGCAGATGTCTGTGACAAGGGTCTCGAGATCTAAGCAGAGTAGGAATAAATGGCAAAAAACAAAACAAAACAAAACAAAACAAACAAACAAAAAAAAACAAAAAGGGCACAATCCCTCCATGGAGGACACAAGACAGAGATATAAACCTCGGTGGTAAGAAGGACAAATAGGCGAGTACATAAAACACAAGGATCTGGGCTGTATAAATTTCCCATCTAAGACAACAACTAAAAATTGAAATTTGTGGTGCTATTACTGATACTAACAAAATCCACTCTAGAATTGCCATGAAAATCTCTCATCTCAAGTCTATTTGTTACATCAAAATAATGCAGTAGTTTCTTATTGGGAAAAAGAGGATACTTGCAGTTCTATGTATGTGATTATGATATGAGTGTGCATGCATATATGCCTGGGTGCCTGTGTGTATGTGTGTGTGTGCACGCAAGATCTTTTACTCCTTTGATGTTTTAGTATCAGGTATAGAAACATTTAAGGAAGCTGGGCTTGGTGGTTCATACCTGTCATGCCAGCATTTGGGAGGCTGAGGCAGAAAGATCAAGGTGAGTTCAAGGTCAGCCTGGGCTACCAAGTGAGTTCAAGGCCAGCCTAAACTGCATAGTGAGACCCTGTCTCAAAAAGACATAAAAACATTTCAGGGAATTACAAGAGTAGTATGACTGTGTTAAAAATCCTAGCGAGGCTCTGCATGGTGGCATATATTTCTTTCTTTCTTTCTTTTTTTTTTTTTTTTTTGTCTTTTTCGTTTTTATTGGTACCAGGGATCGAACTCACGACTGCCTGCTTACAAGACAGGTGCTTATGCTGCTGAGCTAAATCCCCAGCCCTGGTGGCATATATTTCTAATCCCAGCACTTTAGCAGGGTAAGTGAGGTGAAGAGGATGGCAAGTTGAAGCCTAGCCTGGGCAATTTAGCAAGTTAGCCATACTGTGTCTCAATATAAAGAAAGCAAAACGAGTTGGGGCTGTAGCTCAGTGTGAAGAACCTAAATTCAATTCCCAGTATAAAAAAAAATCCTAGCAAAGTGGACATTCAAACAGTGAGACTGCAAACAGTTGTGTTCAGTGATCCAACAAAAACTTAGTAATACGGTTATCTATCTTACACACTTAAATATACGTGCAGGTATATCTTTTAGAGCACTTTGTTTTCCTCTCTTTTTTATGATAACAATTACACATTTTGGGTTCTATTACTCCCATAGTTCTTATTAATTTTTGAAGGGAATAAAACGAAATTTGACAAAACAAAACAGAGTCAGTCAAAACAAGGATGGACATAGTACATGATGTAAAAGCAGAATACAAGATGATCAACAGTGGTTACCATAATGCCTCTTGCTACCTTAAAAAGAATTGCATATATCATCAGATATAATAAAATTGCACAAAACAGTACAGAACAAAAACCAATAAAACCGAAACATTGGAGACATAACTGGACTTCAAAAGAAGAAAATAGTCAAACCAGAATGGGCATCACACTGAATTTTATTGTCTTCAAAGTAGTTGCCTCTGCCCTCAAACTTGATACTATCAAATAAAACAGAATAGAGTAAAATCAGTCAAAACAAGATGGTGAGAGCAATACAGGGCTTCAAATTAAGTTCATAGGAAATCAAAATGATTACTATAATATTATTTTTTCCCTTAATTAAAAAAATAAAAAAATTAAAAAAGGGAGATTGAGGTAAAGGAGGACATAATAACAACAGAACAATTTAAGCAACACATGTTTTACCACAAGATAACCTGACATAACAGTAGTTACCATAGTGTCTCTTTCCTTGAAATATTTGAGTATGACTTTGTATACTATAGCATCAAACATATCAAGACAGTGTGAAATCATTCAAGAGAATGGAAGTATTACAGGGTATTTAGAACCAACTAACAGAGAACGAACAATGGTTTCAATATTATCTCCTTGTCTATAAAAATTTTGTTTATACTATCACATATAATAAAATCCAATAAAATACAACATGATAAAACCAATGGAGACAGAAGAACAACAGCTTGATGGGACGTCAAACCAAGATGATATTAAATCAGCACTAGCTATTTTGATGTCTTGTTTTTTTCAAAATAGCTGTTCATACCCTCACAGACAACAAAATCAAACAACCAAGAATAAAACTGTTCCAATTAATGAATGAAAACATTATAAGGCTTCAAAGCAATATAACGGGGAATCATTATTATCACATACTTTTATGTATTCTTACCATTTCTTACTCTAGGGAGACTATTTGGTATTTATATATGTGAGTTTGATTTATTTCACTTATGAGTATGGTCTCAAGCTGCACCCATTTATTTATAAATATCTCAATGTGATCATTCTTTATAGCTGAGTAGCACTCCATTGCATAAAAATACCCTAACTTTTTTTATCCATTCCTCAGTTGATGAACACTTAGGTTGTTTCCAAGATCTGGAAACAAATTGTGCTGCTATAAATATGGGTGTACATATATCACTGTGGTATGATGTTTTCAGTTTTCTGGGAATATGCCCAGAAGTGGAATAGCTGGAACAAATGGGACTTCCAATCCCAGCTTTTTGAGAAATCTCCAGACTGACCTCCACAATGGATGCACCAGTTTACACTCCCACCAACAGTGCATGAGAGTTCCTTTTTCCCCACAGTCTCTCCAGCATTTGTTGTTGGTAGTTTTATTGATCCTGGTCATTCTTTCAGGAGTGAGATGGAATCTCAGTGTTGTTTTAATTTGCATTTGTCTAATGAGTAATGATGATGAACATTTTTTCATGTATTTATTTGCCATTTGTATTTCTTCATCTGAGAATTGTGTATTCATCTCAGATGCTCATTTTTGGATTGGATCTTTGAATTTTGGGGGTCAGATTTTTAAAAATTCTTTGTGTTTTAGACAGAAGTCGTTTGTCTGAGGGACAGTTGACTGAGATTTTTTCCCAGTTTGTGGGTTTTATTTTCACTATGCTGGAGATTTCATTTGACATGCAGAAACTTTTTAATAAGACAAAATCCCAGTTATTGATTCTGGGAAGTATTTCCCATGCTGTTTGGTTCCTGTTCATGAATTTTCTACCTACCCCTATGTCTTCAAGGTTTTCATGCAATTTGTCTTCCAATAGATTCAGTGTTTCTGTTTTAATATTCAGATCTTTGATCCATTTAGATTTTAATTTAGTACATGGTGATAGACATGGATCTAGTTTTAGTTTTCGGCATATGGAGAGCCAGTTTTTCCAACACCATTTATTAAAGAGACTGTCGTTCTTCCAGTGAACATGTTTGGCCCCTTTATGAAAGATAAGGTGGTTGAGTGTGTTTGTAGTTGTGGTTATATCTTGTAATCTATTCCATTGTTCTTCGGCTATGTTTTGATTCCAGTACCATGTTGATTTTACTACAGTTGCTTTGTAGTATAACTTCAAGTCAGGGATTGTCGTGCCTCCTGCCTTGCCTTTGCTGCTTAGAACTGTCTTTGCTATTCTGGGTTGCTTCTCGCTCCAGATGAATTTTAGGAGTAATTTCTCTAGATCTATGAGGTATGTTGATGGTATTTTTATTGGGATTGCATTGAATCTGTATAACA